GGGGAGAAAACAGAACTGTGTAAGACTAAAGTTTTTTTGTTTTTTTTTTTTTTAAAGATTTTATTTATTTATTTGTTAGAGAGAGAGAAAGCATGGGCGAGAGAGAGTGAGCAAGGGTACAAGCAGGGGGAGCTGCAGGCAGAGGGAGAAGCAGGCTTCCCGCTGAGCAAGGAGCCTGATGCGGGACTCGATCCCAGGACCCTGAGATCATGACCTGAGCCAAAGGCAGACGCTTAACCGACTGAGCCACCCAGGCGTCCCAAGAGTAAAGTTTTTAATACTGAAATTAATTAAGGGTAATAATTCTAACTAGGCGTTTATAAGTTAAGACGTTAACTGAAATCCCCAGAGCAAACACTAAAAAAATAAAACAATACAAAAACACAGAGTAACAACTGTTGGCACTGCTGGTAGGAATGCAAAATGGTGCATCAGCTATGGAAAACAGTATGGTGGTTCCTCAAAATATTAAACATAGCAGCGTGTGATCCAGCATATCTACTTCTGAAATCTAACCAAAAGAACTGAATGCAGGGACTGTAAGAGAGACCTGTATATCCACTTTCACAGCAGCATTATTCACAATAGCCAAAAAGTGGAAGCAAGTGTCTATCAACAGAGGAATGGAGCAACAAAATGTGATATATACATACAGTGGAATTTTATTCAGCAATACAAAGGAATGACTCATGGTATAATGTGGTTGAACTTGGAAGACACTGTGGTAAGTGAAAGAAGGCAGTCAAGAAAAAGTTACATTTTGTGTGATTTGCATGAAATGTCCCAAAACAGACAAATCCATACACATAAAAAGTAGACTAGTGGTTGCCAGGAACTAGATAGAAGGAAGGAATAGAGAGTGACTGCTGACGGATACAGGGATTCTTTTCGAATGTTCGAAAACTTGATAGAAGTGACGGCTACACAACTTTCTGAATATACTAGAAACAACTGAATTGTTCACTTTAAAGAGTATATAGTAAATTATAAAAACATGAAAATTATGGTGTAGGAATATTTCAAGAAGGCTCTCATTCAAAAAACAGAAACAGAATGCTATAAAAAGGGACCATACAATTGGAATAGAAAGGAAAAATTTTTAAATCAAATACCCAATATCCAAGTGGTCATAATATAACTACAATATTTATAAATATAACTTTTATATGTATATGCTACTTATATTTATAAATACAATAGTTATATTCCTAAAGTACTTTGCTCAGAAAGACATGAGGTTCCAGATAGAAAAGCCCTCCAAGCGCACCACACAAAAAATGAAAATGGTCTCGTACAAGACCCATCAACCATAATGTTTCAGACAAAATCAAAGTTACCTACATAGGATGAAGAATCAGAATGGCTTTAGAATTCTCAGTAGAAACACTGACCGCTGGAATGACTCAATGGGGCACTGGCTTTAACATTCACACTGAGGGGAGCCTGGGTGGCTCAGTCGGTTAAGCGTCTGATTTCGGCTCAGGTCATGATCTCCGGGTCCTGGGAGTGAGCCCCGTGTTAGGCTCCCCCACTGTCTGCTTGTCCCTCTGCCCCTCCCCCTGCTCGCTCTAATAAATGAGATCTTAAAAAAAAAAAAAAAAATTAATTTTAGCCACCAGACAGACAAGACTCAAATAACAACCAAATGCATGGCCCCAAAGCAAAATTCCGGCTCCTCCAAAGTAAAGCAGATGAAGGGCAAATCTCTTCCCACCTGTGAAATGGAAAAAGGAGCTGTGCCACAAAGCACATTATTGATCTTAATGTTTATGTCACTTAGCTGATATTATCAAGGCATTTTTTTCATCACATATTTCCTAGAGATATAATTAATCTTCTCAAACACAGCACTCACTCAATGGACAAACTCTTAAGAGGGCAGCATTTAATTTCAGGATGCAAGTTTCAGAAAGCACCACGCATGGGGCGCCTAGGTGGCTCAGTCATTAAGCGTCTGCCTTTGGCTCAGATCATGATCCCAGGGTCCTGGGATTGAGCCCCGCTTCGGGCTCCCTGCTCCTCGGGAAGCCTGCTTCTCCCTCTCCCACTCCCCCTGCTTGTGTTCCCTCTCTTGCTGTGTCTCTGTCAAATAAATAAATAATAAAATCTTTAAGAAAAAAAAAGAAAGAAAGAAAGCACCACGCATATCCCACGCTACTTTATTAGTCCTGTGGCATCTTGCTAGGCTGAAAATCTGTGATGCTCACATAACAGCAAAATAGATATATATAAATGACGAACAGAAGTCTAGAATGTTCAAGTATTCCCGTCAACCACTTGGAGCCACAAATAGCAGACAATGAATTTTCCAAACAACGGCAGGATTCTTCCAAAGTTTCATTCCATTTGCACGTGTTCCTGGCAAAATCAAAATAAAGGTGGCAGCCAGAGGCTCTGACCCTCACAGTGCTAGGTAAGTGTCTTGTAATAAATACAAAGAAACACGAAGTTTTGGCCTCTTTCACCAGAGTAATGCCTTTTTTTTTTTTTTTTTTAACATTTTATTTATCTATTTGAGAGAGAGAGAGATAGCAAGAGCAGGAACATAAGCAAGGGGAGTGGGAGAAGGAGAAGCAGGCTTCCTGCCGAGCAGGGAGCCCAACGTGGGCTCGATCCCAGGACCCTGAGATCATGACCTGAGCCGAAGGCGGACACTTACCGACTGAGCCACCCAGGTGCCCCCAGAGTAATGCCTTTGAAGCACCAACAGCCTCCTTTTCCAGGCACTGTGCCCACCAGGGTTTTACGGCGACAGCCGGGAAGCATCTGGGCCCATTTCCCTAGGACTACCCTCTGCATGTGGTCTACAAATTTTAGGAAGGATTTTAGGTCACATGAGAGATCAGAAACCTCATTCCCATTCACAGAAGACCAAATTCTGCAGCTTCTTTTCATTTAAAAAAAAAAAGGGGGGGGGAAGGTGGTGGTATAAAATCCCATCACTGGGAGGCTGAATGAGAAGGTTCTAGCCCCAGCTCTGGTTGGCATTACCTGCCCCCTGGAGCCTTACCTAAATCACCTTCTGTGTTGGGGTCCCCAAGTCCACACCCGGGTTTAATGACTGGCTGGGAGGACTCAGGGCTCGGCACACATTCACACTCACAGCTATCACTATCGTAACTTAGGACACTCCAAGAAACCAGCAAAGGGAGAAGGTACATGGGGTGAGGTCTGCAGGAAAGCAGGCACAAGCTTCCTAGAGCCCCTCCCAGTGGAGTGGAATCACAGAAGACATGCTTAACATCCCCAGCAACAAGCTGTGATAATCACAACACGTGCGCCGTGCTGTCTCCCAGGGCACTGCTGGGCTGGTCATACAGACAACTCCCTGGGGTAGCATTTACCAGCATGCCAGACTCCCAGAAAGAAAGCAGGTGTTCAGTGTAACACACACTGCTAGGGCACAGTGAGCCACTCTTGCCCACTCTTTTGGGAATGGGAAGCCCCCAGATCAAAGCTTCCAGCCGCCAGCCCAGGGCCAGCATTGCAAGCCGGCCTCCCCAAGGACAGCAGTCTCCTCTGAGCACTTGTCTCTCCAGATCTCAGTGTCACCATGTCACCTCCCAGGTGTACAGGCTTGCTACAGCAGCCTTCAGACAGGACAAGTGAGATGGTCTGCTCACGGCCGAGGGCTACTGTGAGCTACACAGCCTGGTGAGGCCACCCCTGGAGCAGGAAAAGGCTTCACTGCTCACAGCCTGTCTTCCCAACGATGATGCTGACATCATGAGTAAACAGCCCTCTCCCTCCAGCCCTGCTCTCCCTGCTCACCTGGGCCCTCCAATTTTCCCTAGGACACTGTAGGGTTTTTGTCTTTAAGTTCGTCTTTCTCCTAAGTATTCTCCCATATACTCAAAAACAAGAAAGCTGAGGTTCATAAAACACAGGAACAAAATAAGTCTAGTCTCACAGATCACCTGTTATAAAAAACATGAAAACAGTTTTATCCCCATCTAATAATCTTGCACACAGCTCAGGGGACATCGAGAGAGCAACCCTGGGGTCAGACAGGACTCTCACCAACACAGAGTATAGCCCCACCTGCCTGCTCACAGAACCCTTACTTTAGGGTAGGGGGTCCGCTTCCATCATAGCAAATTAAGGGACATCAAGACAGAGGACTCAGTATATTTCAAAATCCCAACCGATATCTGGACTCCCAATATTCTGTAAACTCTTATGAAATGGGGCAGAGAAAATTAAAAGGGGAGCCAGGAGAACAGGAGAACAGGGCTTCCCTCTGAGCTCTGACTCATGCCGTGTGCTCTCCCAAGTCACTTCATGTCTCTGGGCCTCTCCTGTCTCCAGGGAGGCTCAGACAAGCTGCTCCAGAAGCCCAGGCCATGTGTAGCTTCCCAGGACTTCAACATTACTCTCTCCCTTAAAGGAATGGGGCAGAGCCCAAAAGGTTTAAGATTCTTCTGCCAGAGTTAAAATTATAGATATCCAGTTGTTCATTATTTTCTTTAAAATGTTGACTACAACAAAGACATCCGTGGACTCACGTGGTTTTGGATCTGATGAGACGTGGATGCCCTTGCACTGGCCTCTATATATTGAGACTGGCAGAACACTACCCTTTCAAAGATGCTTTCTAGAATTATTATTCTTTACTTCTATCCAGACTCATTCTGGAAAGGCTTCATTAATTCAAACAAATATATTCTAAGTACCTACTACACTAGGTACTTGGTGCAAACAAGATATAGAACTACATGGGCCAAAAGAATGCTGCATTTTCAATACCAATTTTAAACATGCTTCTAAAATCAATACATGGCACAAGATGTGGCCAGACGTCTGGGTGACAGTCCTCCTTTTGAGGACGTTGAATGGGAGGGGCCCCGACACACGATCTGGACAAGACCTCCGACGGCCAATCCTCTAACCACATATTCTTTGAATATAATCACCACCATAAATTAAGTAGTACAAACCAGGAGGTTAACTGAAGAAAGAAGATGGGAAGAGCAGAAGGAAGGAAGACAGTCTGAACTCACCGGGACTGCGGCAATCCTTTTTTACTGAGGTCTGCCCTCACACGTTCTCCCACGTGTCTGTAAATCTCCACTAAGCTGTTTATTGCTGCGTCTCGAACCTAGATGTAAAAGAAGAGATCTTACAGCTGCTCTGTGTCAGTCCACAGCGCTTCCTGCTGGGACACAACAGGCCGTACGCCACCCCGAGTTTATCACCAATCTACCAACTCAACTGTGATACAACCCCTTATAGACGTTGGACTAGACAAAGCCATGTTGCTGGTACAATTCCAAAGAGGAAATTCGGGTCCCCTCCCCGGAGACGTGTTAAAGTCCACATCCCCTAGTGCTTTCAATTCTTTCAGAGGATGTCAGGAATCCAGAATTTTCGGACCATCTTCCCAAAACAGAAAATACCACAAATAAATGAATTATACTAAAAACAAAACTTCATGTATAAAAAGCATTCTAGATTGAACTCAATAAAATATTTAGTAAGCAACAAAAATGGGTAGTAAAAGCCATAATACATAGAGCCCTGTATTCAAGAAGCTAATAGTCCTAAAAGGGGACTGGAGGAGGGGGGACACAGTAGTCCACAAATTCTACATTTAATACAGAGCAGGATGTAGTAAATATCACTCAGAAGTACAAAGAGCTCACACAGTTTAGAGAAGGGAGCAAGCACACTAGACGATACCAAGGAACATTTTCTGGAAGAGGAAGGAACCACTCAGAACGTGTTTAGGGGACAGCATTTTACCAGGTAAAGATGGAAGGAGACAGGTCCCAAACAAGGACAGCCTGTGTGCAAAGGCATGAAAGCAGAGATACATGGCCTGTGCTTCAAGAAGAGCAAGTAAGTAGTTGGAAAAACACAAATATGAACTAAGAAAGCAGCAATAAGTAAGGCTTAAGAAACAGATTTAAAACAAACAAAATCAGGGAAATTTGAATATGGATTATACATCAAACATTACCATCATTAGCAATGTTAAATTTCTTAGATGTGAAAATAACATGTAGTTATATAAGAAAATATCCTTGTTATTGAGAGATGTACACTGCAGTATCTCAGCAAAAACATGTCAGAGCAAAAATATCATGGTTCAGAAAAAAAGAGTATTTCTGTGTGTGGGTATGTGTACACATACAGGGAGAGATCAAACAAATGTGACAACAATGTTAACTGGTAGATACAGATATTAATACGAGTCCTAAGATTTTTTTATAGATTTAAAATTTTGTTAATAAAAACATGGGGGGGGGGAAGACTCTCAAGTATACCCTGGAACCAAGGCCAGCCTGTGAGGGTTGGGGAGGAGCAGAGATGGGTACTTCAGTAGGCAAAGACAGGGGAGCAACATGATTTTGTATTTGATCTCAAGCAATGACATCAAAATAACAGAGAAAGAGGGCACGTACTGAATGGAGCACTGGGTGTTATACGCAAACAATGAATCATGGAACACTACATCAAAAACTAATGATGTAATGGTGATATAATGTATGGTGATTAACATAATAAAATAATAAAATAAAAAATAACAGAGGACAAAAGACAGAGGAAGGAAGTAGGGATACAATTTACAGTTCTCAATACTGCAGGCTACTCTTGATTTACAAGTGTTATAGGTTATAGGACAGGTAACTTCACTGATCATTTTTCCCCTTTTGGTGGAAAAGGGCAAACTATGTTACAGACTGAATGTTTGCATTCCCCCCCCTCAATATGTTGAAGTCCTAACCCCCAGCATGACTGTATTTAGAGACAGGACCTCTAAGCAGATAACTGAGGTTAAACAAAGTCTTAAGAATAGGGCCCTGACAAAACAGGATTGGTGTCTTTGTAAGAAAATACACCCACAAGCTGCCTCCATTCTCCACATGGGCACAGAGAAGTCACGTGAGCACACAGCGAGGGAGCAGTGTGCAAACCAGGAGGAGACCCCCTTCCAGAACCAGACGATGCTGGCACCCTGATCCCCAACTACCAGGCTTCAGAACTGCGAGAAATGTATTTCTATTCAAGCTACTGGTCTATAGGATTTTGTTATGGTGGCTCAAGCCGACTAATACAGATTATCAGTTTATTTGGGAAAAGAAAGACCTTCTGAATTTAGGCATCATTTTTATATGGAAACACACATATACTACACAAGCTGTTAATGCCACTGTGCCCTGAAGATGACTCGGCTCACTTTCTAATGATGACATTTGCTGAGAGCCCATCACCTTAATGAGCAAGCAACATCCTGCCCTACTGAGAAAGGCTGGGCCATAAGGAGTTTAAGAGATTTAGTGGAAAAATGACCAGCCTTAGAATCAAAGTAGACCTGAGTACCTCCCCTTGGCCATTTAGGAACTGTGTAACCCTGGATCAAATATATAAACTATTTTAGTCTCAATTTTCTCCTCTGTGAGCTGAGGGCTGCTCTGAGGGCTAGAAAAAATAACAAATTCATTCCACAAGTATCTGAGTGTCTAGCAGATGCCAAACTAAAGTGCCTCCACGGCCCAGGCAGGGACCTTGATACCTGGGTGGAGCCAGGTGGGTGTACAGTGACAAATGGCTCTGGCAGGGGACCCTGCTGGCAGAGAGAAGGGGGAAAATGGAGGGTCGGGCAAACAGGCCACCGTCACCCACCCTTGGAGGAATGTAGGCACGGCTCTGCCACATCTAATCTTTCGAGAGAAATCGGGAATACAAATCTTCCAAATATAAGAACGCCAAAACTCTTAAATGTAAAACTAAAACGTTAGGCAGACACACAATGCACATTAGGCTGCGATTAGGTTTCAGGCCAGCAGTTTGGAACCTGTACGTCGTGTGTATAAAACACTCAACATGAGGCTAGTGGAAGCAGTATATCTACATCTTCTAAACCAATCTCCTTAGCCTTTAAAATTGTCATTCCTCAGCCTTACAAAGCTATAGGGTCAGACAGCATTTGAGGGTCTAAAGCACCCTCGATTCAGGAAATGCGGCACAGCGCATTTTCTCCGGTCCTACAAAGTACTATACTCCAACTAAGAAGGGAGGCTCTGTACAAGCAACTCAGGCTGAAGGCACAACAACACAGCGCTCGCTTCTAACACAGCCACGGGGGCCCCACACTGCTTCTGCCCGCCCTCAGGCTCGCCATTAAAAAGGAACTCCAACTTTTCAGGCCACTGGGACTACAAAAGCACTCCAATACATTAAGCGCTGCCCGGCAGGCCTGAGTTGAATGCTCTACAGAACTGGAGGTCTTCAGATCTATGACCTTCCTCCTGGGACCGCTGTTTACTGGGATACAGAGGCGCCCGGCCGCCTGCTGGGGCGCACAGCAGAAAAGACTAACAAGAAGATTAAAGTAAAGGCAAGAGCACAGGCACGTGCGGCATACACGCGTCCCCCGAGACGAGGGATGACTCAGCATCAACAGCAGAGAAGCGGGTGGTCAACTTCCCCGGCAGGAGGGTCCTGGGAGATGTGGGCCGCACGTGTCTGTGCGTGCGCGTCTACGTGCGCAGATAAACACTCCTAAGGCAGCTGAGAATCAACGGAAGACCGTCTGAGCGCGCAGTCTCCGGTATCCCGGCTCTGTCCACAACAGACTGCCCAAAGCTGCCCACGGAGCCCCGACCTCACTGTGCCCCAATGCTTGGTGTCCCGGGGCCCACCGTGCGGATTCACATCACCCGAGTGGCCAGTGACAGCGCCTGAGTTAGAACGAGGACCTTCAGCTAGCCAGGCTGGCTTTCCTGCTCGACTTAAGGATACCATGTGATAGCAGCAATCGCCACAACGTGTGACCTCAATAAAGGATTTCTTTTTCCCCCATAGAAAACAAAAATGGGGACAAGACCAAAAAGGGAGAAAACGCCAAATAACCCATTTGGTAACTTAGAATTAAAAAAAAAAAAAAGTTTCTTTTTAAATTAATGCTGAAACATAAAGCGTGCTTCGGTAAACTAAAACATCTCAAAATTCCACTTCCAGTGTCCTGTACTTTCCGTGAAGGCTGGAAAAAGGAGTGGGTGGCAAGAAGAAAGCAGGTGCAATCAAAAGACCCGGAGAAGCCACGGGCAGTGCACAGAGGAGGGGCTGGGGACGGGAAAAGCAGCAGCAGGACAAGAAAGGGCAAAGCCAAGGAGGAGAAAGGACAAGAGCCCCGGGGACCTGGGAGCCAGGGAAGGTGGAAGGCGAGCTGGCACAACTCTCTGGGGACACGTTAGCGATCATCAGTCAATGTTTAAAATGAGATGCCTGCGTACCACGTGTATTTCTTTGGTAAGTTCCTGTTCTGATTTTCAGCCCCTTTATCTAATGAGGTGTTTTTCTTATGAGTTCAGAAGAGCTAATTATCATGATAAAAATGACTCTCGGTGATAAACGGAACTGAATCCATGGGAGAACTGGCACTTCTGAAGCCCAGGCTTGGAAAGTTCTGTGACCTGCCTGGTGACTGCCCTCGGATTACCGGCTCTTCTCCCACCCCTACACTAAGGAAGTGGTGCTTTGGTGTTTGGTCCCTGAATTTACCCAAGATCTACATAAAATACCATCTGCACTTCGTTAGGGTTCGAGGAATTTCATACACCAGTGTGGCCACCACCCAAACAAAATACAGGAAGCTTCCATCCCCTCAGAGCAGGTCCCTCAGGCCCTTTCCAATCAATCTCCTTACCCAAGAGGCAATGCCTGACTGACTTCAATCAGCATTGATCACTTTTCCCCAAGCCCACCCCTTTTTGGCTGGAGAGTGGGTGACCAGAGGGACAGTATCTTGAAGGCTGGTCTGGGTGACATCATTTTATAGGCTAGCGAGACCTCAGCCATACAGAGAACAGGGCAGCGTGATCACCACATTCACCAATTTTATCTTATAAAAATGCTAGAGGGCATTAATGCTAATTATCTGGAACAATAATCAGAACATTATAAACATGAATAAAGTCCCACCCACCTATCAGGTACACACAGAACACCAGAATGCATCTTAATGGTCTATAGCCAATATTCTTCTTTTTCACGAAAATACACTCACCTGGCTGTTTGGATCTCCAAGTAAATTACATATATGTGGCACAATCTTGCTTAGTGTTAAAGTATGTGCTCCAGAGCTGAAAACAAAAGGAGTGTTTTACTGTTGGTGAGAACAGAGAAAAGAAACAGCCCTCCCTCCCTCTCCATCCCCAGGGCCTTATCGCCCCCTCACACCTCGACTCCCCTTCCTTCCCATCTTCCCCATCTTCTGCCCACCTGGTTCCAAAATAAGCACGCCACAAAGGCCCCACCCCTCTGCACAGAGTTCGAAACCTTCCATGCTGCTTGCTGACGTGCCTTCTCCCCGGCACTCGGGGCTTTCTCTGTTCTGGCTCCCAGCCTGCAATGCCAAGCCAAGGCCCTAGCCTTTCCCACAGTCTTGCCTGCCTCACACATGGCTGCCCCTGCATTATCATTCTGTCACAAAGCAGTTTCTGTTTTGCCCAACTCAGTGTTCTCAACTAAACCGCCATTCCCTTGAGGGTCCTCCTCACTTAATTCTCCACCTGTGCACGGCTGGTGCTCCGTTAATGACTGCTCAGTGGGAAGACCCTGGCACAGTGGCCGCAGAGGGTTCCAGCTAAACCCTGCCCTGCTGGACAGCACGGAAGTCACTGATCACTTTTTGCTGTCATAAACACTAGCACAACTAGCCCTTGTGAATACAACTCTCTCTGCTAATCTGACAACTTTCTTAGGATACATTCTTAGAAGTGAAACCACTGTGATCAAAAACTAGAAACATTTTTAAGAAGATGCAAACTTGGGCAAATTAAATGGTACTGAAAAGGCTAACATATTGAGCGGAATATTTTACAAGGTGACATAACCTTTATTATCCCAGTTTTATTTTTTGAAAATAATGTAACTTTACAGGTTGGACTAAAAATGCACTACAAGTTAACCATGATTGTGAGAAGGTGGTAGAAATATACCGAATCATTATTTTCTTCCTGATGTAAATTTTCTGACATATATAGTATCACTTTTATAATCAGAGAAAGTGACTTGTAATTTTTCTACTTTAAAAATGCCTCTCCTACAAATAAGCACGTGTCGAGATATTCAACATCAACAGTCATTAGGAAAATACAAATTAAGACCACAAAGAGATATCACTACACACCCATCAAAAAATGGCTAAAATAAAAAACAGAACACTCAGTGCTAACAAGAATACAAAAAAATGGAATCATACATTGCTGGTGGAAATGTAAAACGGTACAGACAACTCTGGAAAATAGCTTAGCAGTTTCTTTAAGCTTAAACCTACCAGATGACCCAGCAGTGGCACTCTTGGGCACCAACCCAAGAGAAATGCAAGCTTACGTTGCTGCAGGAACATGTACATACGTGTTCACAGCAGCTTTACTTGTAACAACCAGAAACCAGAAACTATTTAAACATCCTGTAACAGGTGAATGGTGACACAAACAGATACGTCTGTACCATGGAATTCTACTCGGCAATAAGAAGAAATGAAGCATTGTTCAGGCAACCCCACATAGGCAACCTCAAAGGAATGACGCTGAGGAAAAGAAGTCAATCTCAAAGGGTCACACTGTTTGATTCCATTTATATAAAGTTCTTGAAATAAAATCATAGAGATGGTGCGCAATCAGTGGTTGGGGGGGGTAGCATGAGGGAACCTGGCCGTGCTGCACAGGTCCGTACCTCGCCGGTGGTGGGGGTTCCCTGGAGCTACACGCATGACAGAACGGGGGCAGAACTGCACACCCAATGCGTGTCACCAGAGGAACCTGTGCATTGCATCAGTATTGATCTCCTGCCGCTTGCACTATAGATACACAAGTTGTAAAGAGTGAAGGACCGTCTAGCACAGCACTTCCCAGGACATTCCTCTGCAGCTTCCAGAAATCCACAGTCACTTCGAAACACAAAATCACAAATAAAAATGCTCAGCCAAGGAAACCCTCGGGCCCTGCCCAGACTTACGCATTGAGTGTGGCCACAAGGCAGAGGCACGTGCCTTCCCGAGTCCGGAAATTCTTGTGCTTGAAGCCTCCCAGCATTCGGTCCCAAACGTACTGTAGGTGACAGAGGAACAGGTGAGAAGAAGAGGACCCTTTCATTTAATAAAGAGGGGCCTCTCAACAGGTGCCAAGTCAGCCCCAGCCTCAACCAATCCATTTCGCCCTCTCAAGGGCATACTGAAAAATGGCAACTTGTATTTCTGTATCAAGTTAAGAGTTTTTCCAAACACATTCCTTTATAGAATTGCATTTAATTATGCCAACAGCTCTGAAAGAAAGGTATACCTGTCCCCATTTCATGGGTGAGGAAAGTAAGGCCAAGCGAGGCTTGGGTGACTTGCCAGAGAGCACATACTCCTACTGCTCTCCTGGTCTGGAACAGCTGTCCCCACCTTATCCACAAGTCACACATCTGCTCCTCTTTTAAGACATTCTGGGTTTTACCTTCCCTGGATGGCTTTTTCTGATCCTTCCACCACCCCACCCCCTATACGTTACACAGTTGGAGCCTGAAAGGCAAGGCTGTGTCCCTCTGTCCATCTGTCCCAGCAGCCCCAGCTCACTAGCAGACAGTAATGAGGGCTGCAGCCAGTCCTCCTGACTCCCCAGACACCACAACCACCTCTTTTCATAGAAACTGAGACAATTACACAAATGAGCTCGAGTCTAATGGATTCAACTAAACACACAATACCCATGTTAAGCCCACTATTTTAGTCAAAGTATACCCCTTGCTATTTCTTTTTAAAACATCCTGTACATCCTGTATGGGGGTGGGGGGGGTGGGCAGGGACGGATTAAATATTATGAAAATTTTCATGTGAAACACATCAGCTTAAAAGAAATTAAATCTTGGGACACTTGGGTGGCTCCGTCGGTTAAAGCGTCCTACTCTTGATTTTGACTCAGGTGAGATCAAGCCCCAAGATGGGCTCAGCGCTGGGCGTGGAGCCTGCTTAAAATTCTCTCTCCTTGTCCCTCTGCCCCTCCCACTCACGCACGCTCCCTAAAATAAATAAATAAATTAATTAATTAAATCAAATCCCCCCTCCCCCCCACCGCCGCGCCCAGAGAGAGAGCATGCACATGCTGGGAGAGGGAGAGAGAAAATCTCAAGCGACTCTCCACTGAATGCAGAGCCCAATGCGAGCCAGAAGCACAGGCCGTGGAGCACCTCCCTGCCCCACCTGGGGATTAGCAGCTTGCTCCATGATCTTCAGCAGCAGAGTTTGGTCTTGCTCTCGCACAGAGTCTTTAGCATCTCCCAGTCTGTCTATTAAACTTGGCAGCACTGAAAACCAAAATGCAAATTGATCAAACGAAAGCCTGTTTTGGGGGGTCTGCAGTCACCAACTGGGTATTTCAATTACTGGGAAGACAAAATGCTGGCCTAAATGATGTACACCATTCCAGAACCACCAATCCTCACAGTTCTACTCTCCTCACTAAAATTTATAGGAGCTTACTCTTAAGAATCTGCAAAATCCTTTGCATGGACACTCTACTTGTCTTCTTCCTTAACCGACCTTCCCCTAGCTAGCTCCCAGCACGCTTTTAAGCTGGTGAAATATTAAAATGGATGTTGGTGGAAGACCCTGGCAGGAAGGAGTCAACACAAAAGGAAGTTTAGGTAAGAGAGGGCTCCAGCACATTCGCTGGGGATAGAAGGAGAAGGCACTTATGACTCAATCTCTCATCTAAACTGCGTGTAATTTTACAGAATATACATGCATATGTATTAGAGTCGAGCTCCCCACCCCAGGTGTGGGCTATCAGCTAGTGCTCCAAGGGCATTTACCTACCAGAAGTGTTTACTTAGCTTCTTCCAAGAGTCTATAAACCTTTCTTTTACAAGAAATATCCCTGAACAACTCAGCTAACTTATGAGGAAAATGGAATGCTATTAAAATATCAAATTTCTAAAAGTAAGGAAAGTTTTTATTTACAGATAGATAGTTAATGCCAGAATGGGAAAAGAGTTCTTAACCTTATCTGAAAGAGCACACTGACCAGGAAGTTAACAGAAAATAACAAATACACATGTAGCAACCAAAACTGAGAAGATTTCTCTGTAAGGAAATCTTTGTGCAAACGGAGCTGCTTGGCACTTATATTGTCATTATGAAATCCCAGAGGTCAAGAATTTAGAAATGACTAAATCATCTCTAAAACGATGAAACCTGCTTATTTTTTATTTCATTTTGCTGACATCGTTTACCCTCCAAAAGAAAGAGTGATCATTTAAGGTACACTTGTAATAACATTTATGACCAAAGTGAAAACAGTTAACACCTAGGTTACTGATCTTGAAAAAACACAGCTGCATTGGATTTGCAGACCATCTAAAAACGGGAAAACAAGGCCTCTCAAAACCCGCAAATATGATTTTGTCGGCACTAAAATGTGATAGCTGATCTGTGTAAGAATCTGTGTAAGATATGGTGACTAACATAATAAAATAAAATTTAAAAAAAAGAATCTGTGTAAGAATAAAAGAATTAGCAGGAATACTGGGTATTAGAACATGAACGCGGGAAGAAGCCAGCACAAAGGTATGGGAAAAACAAAAACGTGAACATGCCAGCAGGTGTGGTGAGGCGGGTGGATCTGGGGTGACCCCAGGAGGGGAGGAGGAGCAGTGGTGCAGCCCCAGCAGGGGGAGACTGAAGGAGGACTTAAAGGCTGGCTGGGAAGGTGGGAGAACTAAAGCAGAAGGGCGGGTGCGGTGGGGGCTGAGGGAGGCCGCTGGCCCGGAGGGTTGGGTCGGGCTAAGTGGAGGATCTGGGAAAAGACTGAGCGAAGGCTGGGGGCTGGACGTGGAGAATGTGGGGGCCCGCTCCACACCTACCCACAGCTCACCTGTGCCAATCTGCGCCTTGAACCGATCCTGCAGCCGGGTGACCAGCGCGGACAGGATGTCCATGCCGAGAAGAACCACCTGCAAGGGGAAACACCGGGAACCCATTAGCCGCCGGCCTCGGGGCCCACGCTCCGGCCCGCCAGCTCCCAGGACGCCCCCCCCATTCCTGGCTCAGACGCAGTCCGACAGCCCGGAGAGCGCACGCCGACTGGCAGAATAAACTGGTTGTCAAGGGGTCTGCTCTGGTACACAAAGAGCTGTTCACAGCTTAAATGGAAAACGGAAGGTGACATGAAAAGAAATTAAAAAACAGCCAGAGCGGGGCCACATCCAGGGCACCAGCGGACCAACGTGGAAGCCCGAGCCGCGGCCCCGCCCCCTGCCGGCCCCGCCCCGGCGAGTAGCGCGTATGCAAATTATTCGCAGCTGGTGCGTGGCCTTCTGGGTAAAACCAAGCAGCCTGTTCGCGACCTTCAGAAGCCTCAGAAAACAAGAAGTTCCTGATTTCCTTCGGCAGCTGTGCTCACCATAGGTACACTAGCTACCAGGCGGTTAGGCCGGGAGTTGAGAATTAGTCACCCCAACCCTACCCGGTATTGGCGCTTCCTGCTTGCACCGCACGCACAATAACCACCAACCATCCTTTTCTTGGGGTTGCGCTACTGTCCAATGAGCGGTTAGTGAGGGCAGTACTGCTAACGCCTGAACAACACGCCCGCATCAACTAGAGCTTTGCTTTATCTTGGTGCAATTTTTGGAAAAAAGAAAAACCTCTTTTTCCCCGACTTGTAACTTTAATAACAGCTCAACCGTCTGGCAAGTCAGCTGCAATACCAAAGAACATCGCCAGAGAGTGCTCGAGGTCAACGCCAGCTTCAAACTCGCTATCAATATCCGGTTTTCAATCACACGTCTCTCACAACTTACAACTGTTGTATAGTTAAATTTTATTTTAAGCCTGTTTGATCCCTCCGATTACTCAGCAGGTTGACCTACTATACTCTCCAAAATATATGAACGAAAGCAAGCTTGATTATAAAACCCGCTTTTGTGCTTCTGTACTTGATTAGCAAAAGCATTGAGACGTGTTTAAAAAAGTATTAAACTGCCTTAAAAATGATAGTCCTCCCTACAAACCTTTCTCAGTAGGAAGCAGTTTTGCTTTGTGCAACTTTACTAAAACATGGTTCAAAACTAAATGGAGTAGCCCAGTCGGTATCTTACAGAACAAATTCATGAATAAGACTAAGGCAACCCTAAACTAATCACCCTAACATCAAGCGATGTCATTATGATTCATCTATCTGCCACTGCGTTTTGCAGCTTGTAAATGGAAAGTGCAGGATTTTCCATTCAGCTTGGAATCCACTGCTTCAAAACTGCCCAATCAGGACATAAACTGTCCTTGCAAGGTACTGGCACTTTGAAGAGATCAAAGGAAATAATTCTAAAAATTTTTTATAAAGGAACATTGGTTGGTAAACAGCTTTTTTTAAATATGTAATGGTATAAAACACTTAAATATAGTGGCTTTACTTATCAGCTAAACAGGATTTAGGTATCACACTCTGATTTCCTCCCAAAGAGTACAGTATGGAAGTAAAGGGGAATAATTTTACAGTGGAGAAACCCGACAAACAGCACCTCAACCAGACAACCAGACAATCGCTGTGAATATCAACAGTCACAATTCATGTTGACAGCATATATGCTTGTTGTGGTGTGATTAAAATGACACTTTACATCTGTGATGTCCTCCTCAAAACCCATAAGCCCAATTTAATCATGAGTAAAAACATCAATTCCCATAGACGGACATCTTACAAAATCCCTGACCAGTACTGTCAAGGTCATCTAAAACATGGAAGTCCAAGAAACTGTCATAACCTAGAGGTGCCTAGAGACACATGATGACTAAATGTAATGTTAATCCTGGATGGGATCCTGGAACAGATAAAAGCCAGTAGGAAAAAAGTGAGGAACTCTGAATAAACTATGTCAAGACTTGAGCTAATGATGCATCAATATTGGTTTATTAATTTTAACAACTCTAACATACTAATGTTAGATGTTAACAGATGTGTGGTGTACATGGAGACTCTCTATACCACCCTCATAATTTTTCTGTAAATCAAAAACTGTCCTAAACATTAAAGCTTGTATTTTAAAAAGAGCAGCCCATCAATTAATTGGAACTGGCTTTTCCCTGATGAAATCCTAAGCACTGAGTATGGTTGCATCGCAGGTGGGAGATGGAAGTGTTATTCATTACAGAAATACTAGGAATGCTGCCTTCAAGTCCTCACCACATCCTGTCATCACTCATTCAAGACTAAGGTGTAAGAGGACAATTACACCTTCATTTTGAATGAATTCAAAATTCTGTCAGATATCGCAGCCCTTGTTGGTGAAGCTACCTGTGGAATTTGAGAGAACATAGACTTCCTTTCATCTCTTCCAGGATGGAAGTTTACTTGGTAGTTTTGACCAGTTCAGGCCTAGCTCAATCCTAAAGAGTAAATTTCAAAAAGTCTTGCACAGACAGACTGGGGAGTCCAGAGACTCCCCAAAAAGCCTAAGTTGGCAGATGCAGCGAAGGCCCAGTGAAATAGGACAGGAGAGGACAGAACACAGTCCCAGGCACCTTCACAGCAGAAAAAACAACTACTTTGCAAGGAAGCAGAGGGGTTCATTTATAGTTGTCTAGTTCACCCTGAGTCACAGCCCCAGTGGGCAAGGAAAGCAATCATCGCCCACAAATGTTTATCTTCACAGCTCAGGCCCTGCTCCTGTTTCCATTTCCCTACTGAAGAAGGGGATACATGAATAAAGTCACTGCCCAGAAGACCACCATTACTGGTTATGAAGCTTCTACGTGCCTCAATTTCCCACCTGTAAAATGGGGATGACAGCAACAGCTACCTCACAGGTCGCTGTATGTGAAGTGTGTGATATAGTGCTTGGTGCATGGTAAGGGCTACCACCAGCTCACTGTCACTGCTGCGGACAATACGTACCGATCGGTGCTCCAGCAGAGGCCTAGGATTCCTGACAAGGGACTGCTCTGGCAGAGAAGGCTTCCCAGAAAGAGTCACAGTACATGAGGTTAAGTTTTGAAAAACCAGCCTTGCACCAAAGGGAGAGATGGCCTCTAAGCAGAGGGAAGTGTGCATGCAAAGATGTGAGACAGGTACCACGATGGGGAGAGCTGGAGGGGAGGGCAGGGCTGGGAAGTTGCAGGGGAGATGGCTCCCAAAGGGCCACAGACATGCCTGCAAGACAATGGGGCAGCCACTGAATTCATCTGAAACGGATGAGTTCTCAAGGTCCAACACAATTCCTTTATCCTGCAACTTTAAAAACATGCTTTCAAAAGGAATTAGTAATTGCTAAGTAACCCAAACTAACCCTCATGTTGAAAACAACTAAAAATGCTAAATTATAAAAGAACATCCGCTTGGAAATATCAGAAAACAAGGAAGGCAAAGAAAAGTTACCACGTCACAAAACATAAGTAAACTAAAATCCAGAGGGATAAGCGTGCAGCAAATGGTCCACTTTTGCCCTCGGACCATTTAAACACTGAGAAGGGACAACCAAGACACTGCGAATTGCTTTCAATGACCACATGGGTCTAAGAGAACAGAGGTTGGATTCCAGAGCCCTCAAAGGTTGGTAGCCTGGATAGCCCCCTACAATTCGCGTTAGAAATCCAAATGGCTATACCTTAGGAGAGTGAATTGAAAGTAAAACAGTCTTCAGATGGACCACAAGACCAGCTTCCAGGAATCTGGGTAGCCCAAAAAAGTATCAATCCCTGACATCAGATGGAAATGATATTAAGCTTATTAGGTGGTGCCCTAAAGCCCTTGGCAGATGAAAACCTACATCACTTCCAGATGGAAAGATCATCATCCTTCTAGTCCTCAATTTACTTCTGTGAACACTTTTCAAATACAATGTCCAAAACACAACCAAAGACAGCCAGGCACACCCAACAACTATAAATGAAAACTAGGAGAAACACAGACACACATGAACTAAGTATATGAAAATACTTAGAAACAGATATTAAAATAATAATTCTGGGGTGCCTGGCTGGTTCAGTCAGTAAAGCATGTCTCTTGATCTCGGGGTCATGAGGTTCAAGCCCCACTTTGGACACACAGCTTACTTAATAATAATAATAATTCTTACTATGTGTAAGAAGATAAAATACATGATTAAAATTCAGGGGAGAGAAATTACAACTTTTAAAAAGTGACATCAATTTTTAAAAGTGCCAAATAATTACCAAAATTCAGTACCCCATGGATGGGCTTGGTCTGCAGAAAAAAACAGAATGAAACACAAAGAGGCAAAAAGATGAAAAATTCAAAAAAGTAGGTAAAAAATAAAGGACAGACAAGACAGAACTAACAAGTTTAAATGGAGTTCAAAAAGGAGAGTCAGCAACATCAGGTAAAAAGCAATAGCTGAAACCCATTTGGATCACTATCATAACAAAAAAATAAGGAAGGAAGGAAGGAAGGAAGGAAGGAAGGAAGGGAGGAAGGAAGGGAGGGAGGGAGGGAGGGAGGGAGGGAATAACAAGTGTTGGGGAGGACATGGGGAAATTAGAACTCCTGGTATACCACTGGTGGGAATATAAAATGGTAGTCACCGTGGAAAATGATATGGTGGGTCCTCAAAGAATGAAACACAAAATTACCATATGATCCAGCAATTCCACTTCTGGGTATATACCCAAAAGGAGTGAAAGCAGGATTCCAACAGATACTTGTATACCTATGTTCCTAGCAACATTATTCAAAATAGCCAAAAGGTGGAAAGAGCCAAATTTTGAACCAAGTGTCAAATCAAGCATCATACTTAATGATGAAATACTGGGGAAATAAAAAAAAAAAACAGAAGTATAAACTCACAAAGAAGCAAAACTGTCATTATTAATGGAAAATATAACTATAAGTAGAAAATCTAGAAGATCTACAGGTATATTACAAAATTTAAAACTGAGCTAAACAAGACCAAAGAACCCAAAGTCAACATACAAGAAAATTACGTATCCGTACCAACAA